CACACGGGGCTTGTCCGGAACTTGACATGCCGCGCGCCACGGAGCCGGGGGGGAGCGGCAGTGAGGGCGCTTCCGCCTCGCGGCCAAGGGGGACCCGGGCGAAGAGCGCACTTCCGCTGGGCGCGGGCCGCGGGGAGGCGAGGAGAGCGGGGCGGAAGTGGGAGCCCCCAGGCCCAGTGTTCAGCCAGGCTGGGCGGGGCGGAGGCGGTGGCGGTGGCTGTGTGGGAATCTCTGATCTCTCTCGCGATCGTCTGGGCGGCTGGCCTTGTGGGTCTGGCCGCTGCTTTCCTACCAGGGCTGCAGTCCCGCCCGTGGCCGCACAGGGGCGCGCTCGACTGCCAGACGGCGCTGCCCTGGGTCGGGCTGGAAGTCTGGCTGTGACGCTCCTGCTCTGAGTCAGCCGCCCCGGCTCCTCCATGAACAAGGGAAAGGGGAAGTGCCTGCCGCAGGGAGGGGCCTGGCCCCGGGAACCTCAGAAGAGGGAATTTTATTCTTACTCATCGAATTATTTTTATGCTTTGGTTTTTCACTGGGAACCTCAGGCCACTGTCTCCAGGACTTGTAACCCTTTGGGGTCCAATGCATGGTGGCTGGGACCCTGCTGTTCAGAACTCCAAACCTAGGGTGGGAGGATGAAGGCTGTGTGTTTCCCTCACCTAGAGGTAGCTAGACCTGACTTCTTCTTAGTCTAAGACAGCAGTTGACTGAATACCTACTCTGCAATTCACTCTACTTGCATCATCTCACTGAATCCTCATTTTATCCCACTGAGGTAGGTACTGTTAGCCCAGGGTCACACAGTGGCATAGATAGCAGAGCTAGGATCCAGTCCTGGGTGTTCTTTCTTTCTTTCTTTCTTTTTGCAGTTTTTGGCCAGGGCTGGGTTTGAGCCTGCCACCTCCAGCATATGGGGCCAGCGCCCTACTCCTTTGAGCCATAGGCACTGCCCAATCCTGGATGTTCTTGTATCCTTCTCTGGGAATCAGCCAGGACAGGAGAAAATTCAGAAAGGAGCATGTGGGTTCTCACTTGGGCAGAGATTGTGACCAAGGGGAGGGGATCTCTGACTCTGACCTGCCATCAGCCTCCCATGGCGGCTTCCTCTATTTGTTCTGCATCACTTTTTATTGGGGGCTCTGAGGGCACACTCAGTTCTCACATGTTGCATATGGTGCCTGTCCTTCCTCAGCCTCCAATGTCTGCTCTTTCCAAGACCCCCAACTCCTTCCAGCTTGTCCTCTGAAAGCTTTCTGTCTACCTCACTACTCCAGGCCCATAGATTGGCCAGAACATCTTGTGTCCTGAGTTCTGGAATGGAAGCCCTTGGTAAATGGGTTACTTTGTTTGCAAAGGAAAATATTTAGGGATGCTGCCCTGGGACCTCTTAAATGCCTCTCTCTCTGTATGCAAATCACCCCATCATATGCAAAGCACTTCACAATATGCAAATGATTTCACAATAACATAGTCAGCATTCCTGCCTCTGGGAGATGAGGGCTTCTGGCCATTCAGCGAGGAGGTGGCCAAGACCTTTTCCTCCCCTCTGGCCTGGAATGCCCAACATCAAATGCCCTAATGGAGTAAAGAAACAAGCACAGTGGAGAGCGAGAGGGGCTCATGACTGCAGAGTCCCATGTGAAAATAGACAGTGGGGAGGACCTATTGTGGCTGTTTAAAATACTGAATTAGATCTGCCAGGGACTTCAGGTACATGAGAGAAAAGATGCAGATATGTTTATTTAATATGATCCTCTATTTTAAAATAATGACAAAAAGAAACTTCACATATGCGTATGTGATTATGGGGATCAGTATATACAATTCTATGTGTAATATTAATAAGTAAAAAATAAGAAGGTCACACCTATAATCCCAGTGCTTCGGACAGCTGAAGCTGGAGTGTCACTTGAGCCCAGGAGTTTGAGACTAGCCTGGGCAACATTGTGAGATCCTGTCTCTACGAAAAAAAAAAGATGTTGGGTATTCTGAGAGGCTGAGGCAGGTGGATTGCCTGAGCTCACAAGTTTGAGATCAGCCTGAGCCAGACTGAGACACCCATCTCTTAAAAATAGCCGGGTGTTGTGGCTGGCGCCTTTAGTCCCAGCTACTTAGGGGGCTGGGGCAAGAAAGTCACTTGAGCCCAAGAGTTTGAGGTTGCTGTGAGCTATAACACCATGGCACTACTGATGGTGACAAAGTGAGACTCAAAGTGAGTCTCAAAAGAAAAAAAAATTAGGTGTTGGGGCTGGGTGCGGTGGCTCCCACCTGTAATCCTAGCACTCTGGGAGGCTGAGGTAGGTGGATTGCCTGAGCAAGAGGGAAACCCTATCTCTAAAAATAGTCAGGTGTTGGGGGGAGGCATAGTCCCAGCTTCTCGGGAGGCTGAGGCAAGAGAATCACTTGAGCCCAAGAGTCTGAGGTGCTGTGAGCTATGATGCCACAGTACTCTACCCAGGGTGACAGAGTGAGATTTTTGTCTCAAAAACAAAAAAGTAATAAAATAAAGTAAAAAATTTAAAAAGTAAAAATTAGGTGTTGTGGTACATGTTTCTATTTTTTAATTTAAAACCTTTTTTTGTAAAGACAGGGTCTCACTTTATTGCCTAAACTGGTTTCAAACTTCCAGCCTCAAGTGATTCTCTCACCTCACAATTTGACCTTTCTTTTTAGACAGAGTCTTCCTTTGCTGCCCTCGGTAGAGTGTCGTGGCATCACAGCTCGCAACAACCTCAAACTCTTGGGCTCAAGTGGTCCTCTTGCCTCAGCCTCCTGAGTAGTTGGGATTAGAGGTGCCCATCACCATGCCTGGCTAGTTTTTCTATTTTTCGTAGAGATGGTGTCTTGGCCTTGTTCAGGCTGTTCTTGAACTCCTGAGCTCAAACAATTCACCTACCTCAGCCTCCCAGAGTGCTAGAATTACAGGTGTGAACCACCAAACCCAGCCTTCTTTCTCTTTCTCAATAAACTTTATTTAATGCTTACCTGTCTGGTCATTCTTCAGCCAAGAGCACGCCAAGAACCAAGGATGCAGACACTTTCATATTTAGTGAATTTTACAATGGTTTTTATCTAGGTTCTGCATAATTGTTAACAAGCTTACTTGGTATTTTACATTTTTGTGGATTTTTTAGTAAGATATTTCCCATTACATTTTGGATGACTTATGGATAGCCTACAGGAAGACAAATTATTTATATGTATTCCTTCTATACCTTACAAACTAACTACATTTTCCAGGTTCTAATAATTTCTGTTTTTTTTTTTTTTTTTTTTTGAGACAGAGTCTCACTTTATTGCCCCTGATAGAGTGCCGTAGCGTCACAGCTCACAGCAACCTCCAACTCCTGGGCTTAGGCAATTCTCTTGCCTCAGCCTCCCGAGCAGCCAGGACTACAGGCACCCACCACAATGCCTGGCCATTTTTTGGTTGCACTTAGCCTGGGGCCGGGTTTGAACACGCCACCCTGGGTATATGGGGCCAGGGCCCTACTCACTGAGCCACAGGTGCAGCCCCCAATAATTTCTCTGTATGTTTCCTTTTTTTGAGACAGAGTCTCAAGCTATTGCCCTGATCACAGCTCACAGCAACCTCAAACTCTTGGGCTTAAGCGATTCTCTTGCCTTAGCCTCCCAAGTAGCTGGGACTACAGGTGCCTGCCACAATGCCCAGCTACTTTTTCTTTTCTTTCTCTTTCCTTTCTTTCTTTTCTTTTCTTTTTGCAGTTGTCATTGTTGTTTTAGCTGACCTGGGCCAGGTTCAAACCCGCCAGCCCTGGTGGATGTGGCCAGTGCCCTACCCACTGAGCTATGGGTGCTACCCTCTATATGTATTCTTGAATCTGTTAGGTAGGTAATTGTATCATCTCCTAATAACAAAAGTATTAGAAGGAATGAACCAACATTGTTATTAGTTAAGGCATGGTTTGATGTGGTTTTGAACTTCACAAGAAGGCTAAGTGCAGACTTAGCACCTGTATCTCAGTGGTTAGGGCACTAGCCACATACATCGGGGCTGGTGGGTTCAAGCCCAACCTGGGCCTGCTAAACAACAAGACAACAACAACAACAAAATAGCCAAGTGTTGTGGTGGGCGCCTATAGTCCCAGCTACTTGGGAGGCTGAGGCAAGAGAATGGCTTAAGCCCAAGAGTTTGATGTTGCTGTGAGCTGTTACGCTGTGGCACTCTACCTAGGGCGACAAAGGAAGACTGTATCAAAAAAAAAAAAAGAAAGAAAGAAAAAAATGGGTAAGTGCATCTGTCCCTTGGTATCTGCAGGGGGATTGGGTCCTAGACACCCTGAAAATACCAAAATCCATGGATGCTCAAGTCTCTTATATAAAATGGCATAATGTTAGCATATAATCCATGCACATCCTCCTACTTACTTAAAATCAATCATCTCTAGATTATTTATATCACCGAATACAATGCAAAATGCTAAGAAAGTAGTTGTTATACTGTATTGTTCAAAACCAAGAAAAAGTCTGTACATGTTTAATACAGACACAACCATCCATTTTTCCCCAAAGTATTTTCTCAGAGTCTTCCGCTGTCGCCCTGGGTAGAGTGCCATGGTGTCATAACTCACAGCAACCTCAAACTCCTGGGTTTAAGGGATCCTCTTGCCTCAGCCCCCTGAGTAGCTGGGACTGCAGGTGCCCACAATGCTGCCCAGCTAGTTTTCTAATTTTTTTTAGTTGAGACTGCATCTTGCTCTGGCTCAGGCTGGTCTTTTTTTTTTTTTTTTTTTTGAGACAGAGCCTCAAGCTGTCCCCCGGGGCGGGGTTCCGTGGCATTACAGCTCACAGCAACCTCCAACTCCTGGACTCAAGCGAGTCTCCTGCCTCAGCCTCCCAAGT